TATGATTATGCGTCTCATCAGAGTCTTAATTTATGTGAGACTTCTAAATTAGAATATGATGAACGAATCTTTTAAAAGCTTCAAAAAATAAATTTCGAATGAATTTTAATGAACAAAAAACATCATCTATTTCTATCAGTAATAAAACTTTTACTATTAACATTTTTCGAAAATCTTTAATTTTCAAACCAGAGATGGACAAAATCGCACCGCGCCTCTCCGCGCTTCCCCGCGCCACTGCTCGCGCCTAGGCGCTAAGCACATCTCTCTTTCTCTTTGCTCTACCAATCAGTTTCTCAAACTCCACCGAATACCGGGATGCTCTAAGCATGCGCTCATCAAAGCTCAGACTAGTGTAGCGTAGGCGTGAGCAACGGCGCGGGGAAGCGCGGGGAGGCGCGGTGCGACTTTGTCCATCTCTGTTTCAAACTTAATAAAATTAGTTTGATTAATTTTGAAAAATTCCTAGTAAATTTTCTATTCTTAGCTTACGTTGTAAATGACTATCTTACTCTTTACGCTATACGAAAATATTAATAATACTAAATATTACTATGAGGGAGATATGATATCTAGATATCTCATCGAAAATTGTGATCAATATTTGTAATCTCTCGAAGTTATAATTTGGTCAATTCACGATCTTAGCATATCATTACCCATCATTCTTGACATATCGTATAGAAATATTTATCTGAACAGAAATTACAAATATATTTCAATTATTTGAATTTCAAGAAAGACTCAACGTAATTTCAAAATATTTAAATCGATTTGTTTAATAAAATTTTTTTGTTGTATGTGATGATCAAACAAATATTTGATTTCATTCATTTTCGAGAGAAAAATCAATGGACAAAAATATTTTTTCTAATTAACACTTTTGGCTTTTCTCTCGATATCGAAACAAAAAAAAAGAAAAAGAAAAAAACATTAAGAATGATTTATCGATTGACACATAACTCATCCCGTTAAATTCGTGAGAAAAAAAATAAAAGTGAAACTAATTTAATATTATTGTTCATACCATATTGAATTTGTAGTGCTTCTGTCGCACAATCAAATAATGGATTTTTAATCCCATGTCCACCATTAACTATTTCCAAAGCACAACTAGTCTTAAATATTTTAAAGTAATTATAATAATAACAAAATCGAATAATATTTTATTAATTTATCATTATAAATAACTTACATTTGTTGTTGATGAATCACAATTATTTGATACAATATGTTCATTTAATGTTGAATTTAAAGAATATTTTCTATTTTCTAATGGATGTAATGGTGATTGTTGATAATAAAATATTGGTTTTCGTTTTGGTTTAGAAATATTTGATGTTAAATATTCAATAGTAAATGAATTTTTTGTATTTGTTATACTTAAATCTAAAGGTTGTTCCATATTGTTGCTAGAAATGAGCAAAAAAAATCAATAATTAAGTGTGAACAAATGATAGAAAATATTGAAAAAATGATTAAACTAATCATCATTAAAAATCTAAACATATGTGTGAACATATCGAAAAAAAAAGGGAACAAACAGAAGTTTTACAGCAGGATATCATCTATACAAACCTTTGATGCTTTTCATTACTTTGTAATGGATGAAAATTTTCATCCATATTCAACATTTCGAGTGGCAGAAGTGATAATGATGCGACTTGATCATTAATCTTTTTTTTTATTTTATAACCAATCAGTTTTCTTTTCTCTCTCTCTCTTTCTCTCTTATTTTCACTTTTATAAAATCAATCGTTTATGAAATATTTTCATATGTCTAAGAATAGAGAACATACACACATAAAATAGATTTTTCTATTTATGATGAAATAATATAGATGTTCTTTGAAGGTGTCCGAACATTTTTAGAGATAACATTTGACTTATCATAAAAAGAAAAGATTTCTTTAGAATATAATTTTATTTAATTAAAGAAATAATCGATTTTTCATTCTATTAAAAATAGACTTGATTTCAAACATTCAAAATTAAAGATTTATTCAGTGATTTATATATTCGAAGTTGATCTGAAGTAGGCAATATTAAGAAAAATGTCGGGTTATCCTGATATTTATCTGTATGCTATTTTGCATTAGGAAATATTTAGAGTGAAATAGATGACAATTTAAATGATAGTGACCGATTGAGAATCGAACGTATTTCGAAATATACTTTATGACGATGATCTCCACCCATTTTTTTTTCCACAAAAAATAATAATGACAAAGGCAGAAAGCGATTCAACTTCTCTCTTTTTAGTTCAAAATTTGAGATTTGATAGTTATTTTAATTTCACATAAATAAAAATTTCCTTCTCTTTTTTTTTTTATAATGATTCACGTATTAGATATTCATCAAAATTTATTTGAACTTATCATCGCATGTTCATATATATATATATATATTTATAGATGCGATTAATTGAATATTGAAGATGAGTATTTGTCCAAAAAAAGATGATATACATTGAATGTGTCAATAAATATCAACAAAGAAAAGATATTTTGTTTCCAATATCGCACATCATAACAACTGATAATAAACAAAAGTGAAGTTAAATGATGTCCACATTCTACGTCAATGTGACACTTCACTGATCATCTTTTCAATAAATCACGAAAAACAAAATTCTTTATATATAAATTTTTTTTTTTTTGTTGTTACTGATTGGCATCGTTTATAACATTCGACTATCCAAAAATCATATGAATGAGAAAATAAGCATGCACATATACAACAGAAATCAAATCACCGTAACGAAATGAGTTGACTACTAATCGACATTAACACACACATGCTGTTTGTTTGTATAGCAAGAAGAATTTAAAAAAAAAAAAAGTTCATCTTCATATAATCTACTTACTATGTATCCTATCTTCAACTAAACATGGATCGATGCAAATGTCAAACGTGTCTACTTGTGTATATGTATATTGTTAATGATTGAATACAAGGAGAAATAACTACTGCATACTAACGGCTTGATGTATATATGTATAAACGTGTACTCTTCCTTCATAAAAGAATTATCTAATATTTTAATCATGTTACCTGTATATATTCATATAGATATACTTGATTGATTGATGTGTATAGTAAAAAAAATCCTCTTCTCTTCATTATTAATTAAAACTGTATAAGGTAACAACAACATATATGTCGATAGCTAACGAACTGTAACCATTTAGTGCTTTTTCTTTTTTTTTTTTTTTTCTTTAAATTATGTTGATTATCAAGACAGCTACGCCTAGAGGGACTTGTATATATATATATGTATGTGTATATTATCATTTAACTTGTCAATTTGATTGCGTCAACAACAAGCGAGAGAGAGAGAGAGAAGTGATCGTCGTTAACACTTAGATGCCTGCTGTGGTGTTCGTCGTCTTTAAGATGACACTCGTGATGATAACGGATCACTATTCATTCCCAAATGACTCTTGTATACTTGTAGAAGATGAAGAACACTCTTATATATATATATATATATATATTATTTCGTCATTGCTAGTTTGAAAAAAAAAATTTGATGATGATGAAAAATAAAGCAAGGAAATAAGAGACCGACAAATTATCTTAAGTAATTATATATAGAAAATTGAATATGAATAAACCTGTTTTCATTCTTTTTTTTTTTCTTTTTCGGTTCATTGATTTTCCTTTTTGCTTTATTGAAAATATATAGTGTTAGTTTAATGATTACAAAAAATATTTTCATATATTGTAATCTAATATATAGAGTGAAACAAAAAAGAAAAACGAGATAGTTGGTCATTTATATAAGACATAAAATGAACTTGAATAAATCGTTCTTCAATGATGATAATGATTATAGTCATAACAAGGTCATAATTATTATCTATTAAAACCATTTCATAGCCTTGATTTTGATTGAAGTTTAGTTCTAGTACTTACATAGAACAAACAATAATTATTTTTCATAATTTTCGAAGCAGAATGACCTAAATAGAACTATAGTAAAATGTCCATATTTTTAATATAGTTTTTGCGTACTTTAATAACACTAATATAATAAGTATTTATATTCTTGTGGCAATGTTAAATTATTCTTAGAAAATCTAATAATATAATCATTTTAACATTTTCTTTTCTTTTTTTTTGATCTATTGAATTCTTTGTTTTATGTTTATTGTAATTCACGTTTTGTTTAAACTAATCGCCAAAGAAAAAAAAAAAATTAATAAATAAACTACTACTAATATTAAATAAAAACAAATCTGCAAAAAAAAAGAAGGATATCGAGAATAATCTACTACTTTGTTTGATAATAATTATACATGAGAATATTTAAGAATAAGAAATATAATCATAGTTTTTTTTTTTATTTTATTTTTAAACACTATTTCCAACTTCAAAAGAACGTAAATTATTTAAATTTTCAGTTAACATTAAAGAATTTCTTAAATTTTTGGTGTTTTTTTTTGAATTATTATTATTATTTATTGGTATACGACGTGTTGAACTAACACGTAAATGTGTTATTGATGTTCGACTTGTTATACTTGTATTATTAATACCATTACGTATTGTTGGTGGACGTGGTACTTGTTGTGATAATAATGCAGCATCAAGACGCATTTCATTTAAACGCCATTGATCAAAACAATCACAACGCCAACGCATTTTTTCAATTAATACTTTACGAAAACTTCGTCGTGATATAACATATAAAAAGAAATATAAACTATAATGTAATAAATAAAATACTTCGGCAACCATTTTTCCCGATTCAATATATGCTGATGGTGTTCGACCACGTACACGTATAATACAAACAATTAACCAAAGAATAAAATAAGGAAAATTTAATATACCAAATGTTATTGATATAACAACAAGCATCCATGTTACTTTATCATTTTCTAATTGATTTTTAACAATCATATTAACATAATCTTTATTTGCACTATCAACTTTTTTAGTTTGATTTAATTCTTGTTGTTGTTTACGTAAACGTCCAGCACGTAATAATTGTCGTACAGTTAATATATTAACAATACATACAATTAATATTGGAAATGTTAATGTTAAATTTCCATAAATAATTGTTAAATAGAAATATATTTTTTTAAATTTATTCATTATATCACATTCAAGTAATTTATGTTTTTCATCAACAACACTTATATCGGACATAATAAATGAATAAAATGGTATTAAAAATGATATAATTAATATAAATAAACATATTCGTCTTGCACTACGTGGATTACAAAGTACAGATGTTTGTAAAGGAAAATAGACAACAATGAGACGTTCTAATGTAAATGCAACAACTATCCAATGAGCAGCAAAACGTAATGTATGACGAAAATATGTTGAACCTAGAAAATAAATAAAATATAAATATTCTTTTAATACTTAAGGGTATATTTCAATAAGCATATGTACTTGAAAATATTTTTTGTTTTTTTGGTATATATTTATTGACTAAGTTATTAGACGAATATAATTACTTAAGTAAAATGATAAGTATCTAAAAGCACTCGATACTACTTGAATAATCAAAAGCAACCCATAAATCCTGTTGACAAACATGATTTCTTATTTTATTTTAAAATAAAAAAAAATAATTAAAAATTTTTTTTTTTTTTGATTGAAAATTTATTTGTAAATATTTAGTTGGTCTTTTTTTTTTGTTATTTATGATAGTTTGAATATTAAAAATAGAATAAGAATCTTCTTATGTCAAATAGTATTTTGATTTTGTTCTATAAATTTTAATATATTTAATTTAAATTAATATATGAAATTAAAGAACTTTTTTCTTCTCGAATGAAATGCATGAAGAATAAATATTGCTTTTAGTTAATTATTTAATTTTTCAAAAAAAAAAAAGAAAAAGCTTTTCTTTCTATTTATAACTTACATTTACAGAGTGGGCGTGATAAATCGACAAGATTTAATGGTAAATCAACATTAAAATCATGCACAAGTGATCGAAGAACTTCATCACAAAAAAAATTAAATAATAGTAAAGCCACTATAAAACTCACTAAAATTAAAATATAAAATTTTCAATAATAAATCTTATAGATCATGAAATAGCAATATGAAGACAAAGAAACATCATTTGAAATATTTCCATTCAATGTTAATCAAATGAACTAATTTGTCGATATTAAGAAGTTTCTACTCTACTATTGATAAAAACTAATTAGTCCATTTAATATATATAGATTGAAAATATTTAATTTTTTAATTGTATGTTTATTTTTATGCATTCAAATTGTTTATTATTTTTAAAAGCAAAATTTCTTTACTTGTTATTAAATATTCATTTGATGAATTTCGTCGAATTTTTGTTGATGAAAAAACTTTTATTGAAAGTAAAGAACCAATCATACCTAAATAAATTAATTATTAATATAAATTATTTAAAGAATTCTATAAAAATAAAATAATTTCTTACCAACAATAACAAGTATAATACTTGTATAAAATCGAAATAATTGACAAACATGTTTAATTTGTGTAGCAAACTTATCTGAATCGGGATTATTATTTAATAGATTTTTTGGCTCTATTGTTGTATTCATGCTTTACATGATTATATTTCGTTTTATTTTTTTTTGTTTTGTTTTTTTTGTTATGTTTAAATAAGTTTACACATTCTAAAAGAGAATATATTTATATTTATAAAAAAAAAAAAGAATTTTTTTTATCATAACTCTCAGTAATCTAATAACAAATTTATATTTTCTAAGTGCGTTTTCTCGAGACATAAAAAGAAAATTGTAGAGCGACAAATGTATTTATTCTCTTTCAAATCATTCTTGAAATCAGTTAAAAAAAAAAGAAATATTTACATCGTTATGATTATTTTGTATGTCATAAGTATGAGATTTAAAAGAAAACTCTTATTTTCAAACTCAATCATAGAATACAGAGATCGATGAAAATAAAAAAAAATAAAAACAGCTTAGAATATAAAAGAAATGAACATAAATTATTAAACTTGAAACTTACAGCCGACAAATTAGTTTGAAATATATTTCTATTATTAATTTCTTTTGACATTTAAGCAAATCATTGATTTATAATACATAGGAATTCATTGATTTTGACAATCTCAATTTCGAATTCAAACCAAATCCATTGGGATTATATCACTGATTGCATAGTTTTCTATAAAAACAAAAACACAATAATATATATGTATATTTTTTTTCATATTCATGCACGAATTAAGATTAGAAAAAAAAAACAAATGTTGAACAAATATTCATGAAAATTAGATTAACTTTCTATTATCAAACAATATCATATTTCTAAATCTGACGAGATTTTTATAATTCTTCCAAAAAAAAAAAATTCTGATGAGCTTATAAATATGCATACTTTCCTATAGAATTGAAGAGAAACAAAAAAAGAAATGTAATTTTAATCTTTGCATAATATTTCCTTTATCATATATTAATATTTCTATGAAGAACTAAAAGAACAAATTTTTTTGCTTTGTATGTTTATAAACTATATAGACTTTATTATTATTATTATTATTAATCGAAAGTTTGACTGACAAAGAAATTGAAAACATATGATTATCATCGTATCTCTATGACTTCATTTTAATTATGTTAATATATAGCATAAAAAAACAAAAAAAAGAGATCAACTATGATAAATCAAAAGAAAATTATATAGATATTAAATTCTTATGTAATATTTCATTATTACATTTTTCAACATATTTCTATTTCTATAATACATATGAATCATTCAATGACAAAAATATTAATTAATAAACTGAAATAAAATTTTATATTTAAAAAAAAAAAATTCTCATTATTTTTTCTTTTAAACAAAAAGATTTTGTATAGTATTTAATTATAGAAGATATGATGTCTATCTAATCAAACAACATATTGTTAATCAGACTAACAAGAGAAGACAGAGAAAGAGAGAAAAAAACAAAGTAAAGCACTCAGTTTTATGTGAACAAAGGAAAAAATAAAAATAAAAAAGAATTTTAATATATGAAAGAAATTGATTGTAATAGACATGACGAAGTATATGTCTAAATATCTATATATATATATGAGTGATGAAGATACAAAAAAAATCTAAAAAGATTTCCGTGACACAAGTCTATTTCTCAATGTGTTGTATGTTTATTGAAAATGGAGGAAGCAACAAATAATAGGACACGTCTAATAAAATAATAATCACACATACAATATGTCATCTTTTTTATGACTTACTCATTCTAGTGAGATAAGTTTTTTCTTTCTTATATACGCTCATATGATTAGAATGAAATGCACTTAAATAGCATATGAAAAAGACAAAGTAAATAATACTTATAGTCATATACACATATTTACATTTGACAAGAACTAATAGATTTTACGACATGATAGTATTAATGTTCGTTTCTTATTAACATGATGTTAATAACTAAGCATGACTTAAAGATAAACTTATGATTAATGAAAAAGTTTCTTTTTTTTTTTTCATCTCATATTTAAATAATTTGAAGAAAAAAAAAAAAAAAAATATATATATATATATATCGGAAATAATATGAAACTATTCTAACTGCCAGTTAAAAGTAATTTACGTAGAATTGATTAAAGAAAAAATTTTATTTCCGGAAAAATTTTCGATGAATTTTTTTTTATTCAATTAATCATCTGACTACATTTTTCCTGTGACTATATACTTGAAAAATTCTACGTAATTTCAAAAATATATATTTTTTTTGCAAATGTAAATGCAAAAAAAAAAAAAAGAAAGAAAATACTTTTTGTTTCTAATAAAAAATCTAAATTGTTCGATTTAATCTTTGATTAATATAAATACTTATAATACAACAATAAATATTTATTAGTATATTACATGATCTTAACACAACGAATTTTACTTCCGGGATACATATTTATGAATATTTACGAGTTTTTTTTTTCTCTTTCTTTAATCAAAAAAAAAGAAAGAGTAATTTCTTTAAGAAAAAAAAAAATTGAAAAGAATTTTACTATCTAATTAACTAAATGGTTTTATCACATAAAAAAATATCTTTTTTATTTTGTATTTCTAATTTAATCGAATTCAATTGATAGAATCGATCATGTACTCATCTATTCGAAGTCAAACAAAAGAAAAAAACACGACCCGACAACTAACTCGATGTTGTTATATTATATTAATAATAAGAAAAATGGATCGATCAAATATTTGTTGATGAACAACAACATGACTGTTTTATATAGAATATAATAACAGCAGGAATATTAACATACTGTTAGAATATCGACAATATGAATATATACTGTTGTTCATTTAACTGTAATAAATGAATTAAATCTATTTACATATTGCAGAAACTTATGGTAATATGAATATTAAAAAGAAAAAAAAAACGAACATTAACAACAGAAGATGAATAGAAATATAAGTCTTTTGATGACATAGAAATATGAATCGATCCATTTATTATAAACTCGTAGGAGCAAAAAAGAAATGCATTAGATCAAGCTAATATTTTGTAATTTTAATTTATGATCTAATATGTAGATTAGAAAAAAAAAAAAAAAAAACGAACGAATTCATATTTGTATATGAACTTATTAATATGGCTTCATATTATTTAATATTTTCTAGATACTAAAAACATATATATTCTTATAATATATTAACATACTTTTTTTTTGTTTCTATTCGTTTTCTACGTATGATGAGGTATATATTTGAAATTGTGTAGAGTAGGCGAACGAACAAGAAAATAATTGTCAATTTTTATTCTTTCTCATATTTCTCCAATCAACATCTCTCTCTCTCTCTCGTCTGTCTACTTTTTCTTTTGATAGATCTAGTTATTTAGCATCACTTGGGTGTTTTCTTCGTCATTTTTTTTCTTCTTCTCTTTTCTTTTATTCTATGTGCTTGAGAAGCACTATGACTATATAATGCTACAAAAAAAAGAAAGACTTCTGTTGTATAAAGAACGAAAAGAAATTTGTTAAATTATAGAGATTCTATTTTATTTCAAGATAGTATCGAGATCAAGCAACCGTAACGTTTTGTTCTCATTTCTTTAACAATTGTGTATCTATAATAGAAAAAAAACAAAAAAAACAAGAATATTCTTTTAAATTTCTTAATAGTTAATATTTATGTTTATCATGATATTACGAAGAATAATTTTTATAATATGATAACATTTTTTTTTTTTTGGCATCTAACAAAAGAAAAGTAATATACTTTCTATGATATGTAGCGATTCTTTATTTTTTTCTTTTAATACAATAGTTCTATTTCCCATGTTTTCAACGATATAATAATAAAGATATGATGAAGTACAAGAAACACTCAATCTTTTTTTTTCTTACAAAAGGCACGACAAAGAGACAATCACCAAAACAAGCACACTTAAAATATATATATATGTTTATTATTAAGCATAAACGGTTGCTGTTGGTAGTCGTTTTGATAATGACATTCTATTTACATTAAGATTTTCTGATATTAAATTTGGATCAATAATATAACGATGTGCATGTTTTGATGATCTATTCGAACAGTATATTTCAGATGCACTATGATTTAAATCTGGTGATGGTTGTGCTATTTGAAATTTGTCTATAGGAATTGTTTGATAATGTTTAGTTCGTGATGGATGACTAACAAAGACATAAAAAAAAAACGTAATGACATAATTCTTCAAAACTTACATTAAACTTTGATTATATTTTTCTAATGTTGATGGATCGATATTGTCTATAACATTATAACGTTTATTTTTAATTAAATATAATCGTCCATCAATAAAATATTTTGTAATATTTGGTGATTTATCTTCAAAGGTTATTTTTGGATCATATATTAATTTAACACCATCAATTTCAAGTGATAATTTTGATTTATGTGGTATTGGTGTTACTGCAAGTAAAGGTTCATTTCGTTTTCCATGACTATGATGATGTCGTCGATGATAATTAGTTGTTTTTCTTTTTGTTGAATCTTCTCTTAAAACAGAATATTTTTCATTATTTTTAACTGTAATCATTGCTGGACGATGAATATGATGTGGATTAAGTGTTATAGGACTTATTTCAACAGATTTATGAACAGGAATTGATGAATTTTCATTAGCACACCAACTTGCTGACTTTTGATAAACATAAACTGGTGAAGGAGAAACAGATGAAGGTTGAGATTGTGTATAAATAATTTGTATTGGTTGTTCTTGTTGTATTTGTGTTTGTTCAATATTATTTCCATAAACTTGTTTGAAAATTTGTTGAATTTCTTCATCAGATAATTTTGTATTTAATTTTTGACGAGATACATGAGCTGATTTTATTTCCCGATGTTGTTGTTTATTTTCATTTGGCATTGTTCTATTAAGATATGCTTTAGCTGATGAAGAACGAGTTTTAGTTCGTGTTAATGATGGAATTGAATTAGGTGTTGTTGTAATTGGAATAGTAGAAGTTATAAAACGTGGTTCGGGAATCATAAGAATCCCTGTTGGAGGAAGTGAACGAGTTACTGGAGCACTCTTCAATCGACGAGGTGGTTCTTCGTGTATTGACACTAAAGAGAAAAAACAAGCTTTTTCGATATACATTATTTTTAACATGCATTATAACGGAAACGGATACAATGAAGGAAGAGTATTTATAACTAATTTAAGATAGTTCTGTGAATAAGTTTGAAATTCTTTATATTCTTTTTGTTAATTTTTATACACATAGTTTATAAAACAAGATGACTTTCTATTGACAAAAAAAAGAAAAAACTCATTATATTTTTCAAAGAGTCACTAAGATACATTTCACTTTTGTATGATTCATTATCCAATTTCCCAATTGAGCTTCTTAGACATTTGTTTTGATAATATTATATTAATAATTTCTTATATTTAAATTATGCATATCTAACAACAATAACCGCAACAAAAAAAAAAAAGAAAAGAATAATATTTTCTTTTGTCTATGCAACTAAAAATAACAATATAATATATTCATTATTGTTTTTTTTTTTCTCATCGAAAAAAATTCAAATCCCAAATGATATATGTCATAAACGGAATAAATTAGTTTAATGATAAATTTTAGGGTATTTTTACGTACTATTCATTGAAAGATTTGGTGTTATTGGTCGTCGTTTTATTTCGTAATGTAATGCCCAAGGTGGATTTAATGCTTCATCAATTGTTTCTGTTGAATGATAAGCTTGATCACTTGATGCAATACTTTGTTTATAACGTTGAAGAAGTTCAACATTTGTATTATTATTATTGAATGTATTTGCAACTATAACAATAAAATAAATCAAAAAAATAAAATTTGAATGTTAAAAAAAAAAAAAAAAGAAAATTGACTTTTTATTTTATTTTGTTCCTTTTTTTTTTTTGGAATGTCTATGTTTAATACTTTTACATTTCAATAGTTTTTTATTTTTTATTTTTCTTACATCCATTTGTTAATGGTTTTTGTTCTAATAGATCTTTATCAATGCCATTATGTATATAAATATCACGAGATTTCATTGATAAATCATTTACTACTTCTGGATACCAAGCATAGAGACATTCACGATTTGGTTGATTACGTTGCTTTGATATAATAAGTGTTGGTTGAACAATCATTTTTTTTTTTTTTTTTTTATTTTTTTTTTAATCTCCTTTGATGATAATATAAATGTGTAAAGAAAAGTATGAAAGTCACAATTTTTTGAGTTTTTTTTTTCTTTTGTTGTTAGCAACCTATAATTGAAATAGGTAAACAGCGTTACACATGTTACTACCATAGTTGAAAAAGCGGTTGCTCACACAATTCTTTGTTTGCTTGTTGTTGACGTCATTGTTCGATAGAATTTTCTCTTTCTTGACGACAATGAAAAGAAACGAGAAAACATTAAAAAAAAAAATTTTTTTTTTTCTTCATTCTTAACTACTAAAGAAAATAATACAATGCGATCGTTGACATAAAAAGAAAGTGGATGAATATTGATTTAGATATGATTGAAAAAAAAAGAAAGCAAACTAGCAATTGAAATGTGTTGTATGTTGTCAGAAGGATGTTTAATACTTAAAAAAGTAAATATTTGAATACTCTTGGCTTTTAATCCAATTCATTAAGTTTATCAAAAATTTAAAAAATATACAGAATAAATCATAATCAGAACAATGAGATAAGAAAAAAAAAATGAAATATTTTGCATTTCCATTCTTTTGAATGGATTCATGTTTTTCAGTTTGATGATAGAAATTTACTTAAAGTGTTGTTTTTTTTGTTTCTTTTTTATCATACGGATAACGGAAATAAATAATGTTGCCAAATAATAATTTTTTTCTTTTGCTTCACTAAAGAAATATACCTTTTGGCAAGTAAGATAAATATATATATGAAGCGTTTCATCGATAACTTTTAATTCTTATCGGAAAAAAAAATACTAATAAGAAATCAAAGAGAACTAGATTAATTCATACGGAACAAGTTTTTAAATATATTACTTAATTTCAATGCTGAAATTCATCTTGCATAAGTAAAACATCCTTACAAAAATCAATGCTCTATATACATGAATATAGTTCGTTTTTTATTTATTCTTATTCTCTTATAAAAAAAAAAAATTAAAAATTATCCTTGAAATTTGACACATTTACTGTTTTTATTTGATAAAAAGTAAAATAATTTTCATGATACTCAAAAAATAATACTCGATAATAGTATTTACTTCTCTTATCTGTATGAAAAAACCTTGTATAAAATTTTACTACTAACCAAACAATCAGCTCATTTGATTAAACCAACATAGAGAAAATTCATTCTTTTATTGTAGTAGTATTTTTACGAATCATCCTGTCTATTGTTGAAATTTAAAATTCATTGTATGTATTAACTGCTATTTTTCTTTTTTAATGCTTTCCATATTCTTTAATTTCAATATAATAATAAGATAATATCCCATACTTGAGAAAATAATGTTACTATTGACTCATAAAAAAAAAAAGTAGAACTCTTAACCTTGGAACATAACTAATGTCGGATTTCTTTTTAAAGTTCTAACGACCATTTGTTGAATAACTTTTCAACGGCTCAAGCTATAGAAGTCAAGTTTTCACCGTTAGAAAGAACAATGCGGGAGACGTCGATCTATATAAAATTCATTAGATTCATGGAGTCTTTTCGATAGTTGTTTTCAGACAGATATCTTTTTCTTTTGACGTCTATTTTCATGAGTTTTCGTGACAAATTAACATCAAATTAGACCAAAATGAAGCCCAAATCTTCTTGTATTTACGCTAAAATTTTCATATTTTAACATCAAAACGTAAGGAAAAACAACCCGAGAACAATACGGAAAGATTTGAAAATTTTAGCACAAATACAAGAAGACTTAGGCTTCATTTTGGTCTAATTTGATGTTAACTTGTCACGAAAACTCATGAAAATATATATCTGTCTGAAAACAACTATCGAAAAGACCCCGTGAACCTAATGAATTTTATACAGATCGACGTCCTCCGCATCGCTCTTTCTAACGGTGAAAACTCGACTTCTATAGCTTGAACCTTTGAAAAGTTATTCAAAAAAAAACGGTCGTTACTACTTAAAAAAAATCCCACATTAGTTATGTGTATTTTATATTTCGCATTTCAATAAAACATGATTGCTAAGAAAAAAAATCTAATTTTGTGAATTTCATCAAGATAAAACAAGACAAGCTAATTATTGATTTTTTCGAGTTATTAAATAAGACAAGTATAAAAAAAATAGACACAATTAATTTCAAGTTTTATATAGCAATAATAATTTACTAATAACATTATTCACTCTAAAATATAAAAGAAGAACAAAGCAATTACTTCCGATTGTTTAAGTACTTAGTTATATTAAGCTTTTAGATATATTCGATTTCAAGTATTGATAACAAGAAAAAAGAAAATAAGTGTTTCAATAAAAAAAAAAACATACGCCATAGAATAGTATCTCTTTATCGTCTATAAATAGAACTTCGAAAAATTGGATAAATAACCATATAAAAATAATTAATTGTTGGTAAAGTTATATACATTTATTGAATAAAAAGAAAAAGAGAAATTTTTTTTTAATTTTTGGACATTTCAATTATTAACTTTGATGATAGGAACGAAGAAAAATCAAAGAGAATTTTAGTTGAAATTTTATCATATTCTTGGTCTAAATGCTTATCCTTTATACATGTACATCATTTATTAGATAATTTTCTATAAGGAACACAGCAAATTATAAATAATGATCAAATAACTTCAGAAATTATATAAAAATATAGAATGAACATTAGAAAGATTTTTACAAATGTCTAATCCATAGATATATAAAACTATCTGATTGATGTTAGTGTATATAAACTATGATGTCAAATGAAGAATTTCAATATCGCTTGCTTTTGTATATTCAGATCATCACTCTCTTCATATATGGAAGATAATGTCAAAATATATTATCGATCACAATTTGACGAAGAAACTTCTTTGAGATGTTCTCTTGTGATTTCAATAATTTTTTGTTTTGCTACAGATACTATAAAGTATTTTAATAAAAATCCTAAAGGTTATCTTAAGATTTGATTAAACTATTAAATTTTGATTTGAAACTTTATGTAAATAGAGAATTCAATTAGAATAGTTTTCATTAAAAAAATTTTGAAGCAACTTTGTTTAAATCTTTTGAATTTTCTTCAAGGAAACTATTCTAATTGAGTTCTCTATATGTGCTATATTAGTATTTCATAGAAACTATTGGATATTTACATATTTGAAGATAAAATATTCATCGGATATCTAATAAGTGACTTGATTGAAATATTTTTTAGTAAAAGAACAATTGAAATTGTTGTTTTTAGATACTGAGCTAGAATTTGCATGAAATATTCTTTAATATTTATTTAAATAATTTTTAAATATTTCGAAGTTTATCTTATCTTCTGTCTTTTTATTATATTACTCTTCAAATAGGACTTGATTTATTTTTTCTTTGAAAGAAAAGAACTGATTTTCTTCAAAAAAAGAAAAAAATTAGAAACAAAATGTTGTCTTAGCATAGATAATCTACTTCACTAAGCTATGAAAGATGCTAGGTATCCACAGCAGAAAGTTTTCATAGAAAAATTTTAGATTTGGTGCTCATTAAAAGCTTATCATACATCTTTATCTACTTTATTGATCTTATTGGTGATGATAGTAAGTGAATTCTATATAGTTTGAGTCAAAGTATCAGTTTCATTATTAAACAAATGAATTTACAATATGAATGACCTATGAAGAATGTAATTCAATATATTCAATAGTTTAAGTATTTAGTTTTGGTATGGAAACATGATTATCTATATCAAAACTAGTGACATTTATTATTTTGAAAATTTACCAATACCAAACTGAAAAAATATATATACAATATGTTTGAAGAATGATTCTTACATAAGATATTTAAACATTAAATACAGTACTTTGTGATTTATGAGACTATTCACATATTCAGACGTTACAAAGAGTAAAGAGAATCAAATAATGAAAAAAGAAATATCATGGATAATATTATAGGCACTGAGAAATCACAATCAAGTACACATTGAAAGTAATATGCTCTCTCTGATTATCAACTAGAACTTGCCGAGAGAAAATGAAAAAATTTTCAAATATGTTCTAAGTCAGTTACCAGTTACTTGACATTTTCAATTATCGAATTATAATTAACTAATTACTACTTTCCATTTCAAATTAGAAAGTGATATGAATAGTTTTTGAATAACGATTGACATAAATTAGATAAAGGCCTGTAGCATTTGCCATTGAAAAGAGACCATCGAAATTTTTAGTATTTTCGGTATCTGTTTTTTTTTTTTACAATCAGTAATTAAACATCCTTTAGAGAATATGTAGAGAAACTCAGCAGTACACGATTCGATACGCATTCATTTTCTGTTTTCAACGATGAAAAAACACAGCTTTGTAGCATGTTTGTATCAACTATTATTTAAAACGATGTTTATTCTTTTTCTATTTTTGAAATGACAAGAAGTAATTTTACCAAGTTAAGTTGTTTTCAATAACTCGACTTTAAAGAGAGTATGCCATTCTTTTTTTTGTTTTGATCTACTAATAATCGAAATCAACCGAAAACATTCTCAGCAGACATTTATACATGTCAATTCTCCTTGAGCAATCTGTTATATAGACATGAAGGTAAATCAATCGTGTAATCTGAACGATCGCTTTACATAAGGCTCAGATATTCTATTTCAAATCAATATTTAATAATTTGCATAATACAATAATTTGAAGGTCTCAAGAATCGAGCCAAGCAGTTAAAAAGTTTTATTTATGATAGAATCAGATTTCAATTTCGTTTGGACAAACGAATGAAATCGAAATCAAAGTAAAAGAGAAAGGACATCATCATACAACAATATTGCGATATACAATAAATAAATTTATAAAAAGACATAATATTCTATTCGGAATTGTATTTTAAATTTAGATTTGCACCTCAATTTCAATATTGATAATTATGATGCTTCAATATAACCAAATTACCTTTCTAATTTTATTACTTCTTGGGCATAGTATTATGACAAGTTGGGCATGCTCTGTTTCGAAATTAACAAAACCAAAAGAATTAATTTCTAAAGCTTATGCGATTGTTCGTGCAAAAGCAATCAACTATGAAACACCTCCAACAAGTATGAACTCACAATACAATGCAGTTCCTGATTCAGTCATCAAATTCGAAGTCATAGAGCGAATTAAAGGCAATCAATGGATTCCAAATCCACTTTGGATTAATGGATATTTAAGTCAAGAAGATGATTTCAATGATCGTCCTTCACCATACAATTTTATTCGATCAAATGGACGTAGTGGAAACTGCATTGCAAATACATATAAACAAGATGCTGAGTTTTTATTATTTTTAGATAATAAATTCTCACCTTATTGGGATGCCTTAACACCTGTCAATGAACAACTTCATTCACCGTCGTCTGATGACCAATGGTTACGATGGGTAAAAGCGCAAGTCGCTTCTAGTGCATCTAGCCGACTTCGATCTTTCGTCCATTGAGCAAAACATGTGTGGTATTCGAAAA